AGCAACTTGTCCGCAACTTTCAACTCGGGAACCACAAAAGCTGGGGAGCTGAAAATTTAGGGGAACTTCCCCTACCCACGTGTGACCCGCAATTTAAATTCAGCCTTCCCGTGCCCGCGGTTAACACGTACGGCCCCGTGAAAGTTTTTTATGTGTAAATTAATATCTCGGGAAACACGGAGTCCAGCAGGCTGAAATTTTAGGGTAATGACCCCTTACCCAGGCTTAACCCTGCCTATTCAAATCCAGCGTTCCCGCACTTTTGAGCATCACCTACAGCCTCGTGGAAATTTTGGCGAGTAAACTATTAACTCGGGAGTCACGGAAAGATGTTTACTCTTCAAGGCTTTGAATTTAGCTTTCATGCGCTGGTGCGTGGGATTTTTAACTGTTTTCCAATGTTTGAACTATTTTTGCATAGAATAAAGTACAAATCTATGAAAATCATTAATAGACAATCGTTCGATGGGCTGAATTGCGCAAAACGCATGATCGCACCGGCTAGTCTGGTGCGCGCTGCTATTTTATCTCGAGACCTACAAAAGTTATAAGGCTGAAACGTTGGGGACTTAATCTACATGAATGTGTGGCGCCCATCTCCAAAATGGACACTTTTGCCCACGTGGTTCTCACGTGCGGGGCCACGAAATTTTTTGCGGGTAACTTGCTAACTAGGGATCTAGAGAAGCTAGAAAGCTGAAATTTTAAGGGATTGTTTTCTCGTAGTGGTGGCGATCAGATCTCAGTTTTTTTGGTTTGAATCATATGCTGGAAAAAACAGAATCGTTAGTGATAAAAACTTGCTGGGGAACTGCAGAAAACGCATCTTCGTACCGGAAGTCTGTGCCTGGCCAATTATTTGTCTCTTATCCTTGCTTTGTAGCTAGCACAACATTTGGCGTGCCTACATTATCTTGAAAATATCGCTTAAGTCGGATCAGAATCACAATGTTCATTTGCGTTGCAGTAAGTTGCGGATACTTGCCGTTTGTCGTCCCTTGGCTCGCTAGGTCACAGCTTTTGTGTGGTGCAGAATCAGCAGCAGTGGAATGAAAGAGTGTCGCTTTCGCAGTTGATGCGATGTGAGCGTTAGAAAAGGCCTCGGAACTTGACAGGAGTTATCTATCCAGTTCTGTTAAGCTCCATACCCAACTCGTTTTTCACATGCACTACTTGTTTCGAACAGGTAGTTGGTTGCGAGCTCAGAGAGCGGATTCTCGAGTTCATTTCCGTTGAAACAGTATGCTTTCTTTCTCTTAATTTCTCTCTGAATTTTAAGTCAAGTTTTGTGTTGGTCGCAAGTTCATTTAGCAGACTGTGGGTCATTTGCATTGAGCAGAAAGTCAGTTTTAAAAATAATCATTTCCTGTTAGCGCAAGTTCCCTTCATTCTTTCAGCTTCACGTGAAATAATTCCATGTGCTTCGATAAAGGTTTCCAGAAGAGTGTCGCATTGCTTTAAGCCTCTGCTAATCTAATTTTAAGGAACTAGCTAAAAAGGATGTTTTGTATCTGTTGCTGATAATAAACTTTTCGATAATTCGAAGCAGACTGAGTTAGCTGCTTGACACGGAAGTGTTTCAGTCAGTCCAAAGGCCTCGAAATCTTCGAATAGTAAACATTAAAGAAGTTTGCATTCTTTGCAAATTCCCACATTTGCATTACTCGAAAGATTTCTGTAGTGAAAAACTTCCTTCTGAAGCTTACTTTTTTTAGAGCTTTCAGTGAGGGCCTATGTTTAGGAAAAACCCGTCTTGCGGTTGGTAACGTGCATATGAAAAGCAACATTCTCAGAAAAATAGTAGGTATTTCTGCTCAGTCTGGTTGCTGTGTTAACTGGGTGCCAATAGTGTCCCGAACTAAACATTCACATGTGTGTACGCGAGACCTAGGTTTGCTTTAAACTTGATTTTCGAATATTTAAGTCGCACTGTGACGTAGATTATCACTGTAAAGTTTCAGTTGCCTAGTATAGCTCGGTGGCGAAATCGTTTTGGTTGTGAAAATTTTTGACATGTCCGAATGCGCAACACAGACGGATTTTTAAGTACATTTTGCACCGACGTGTTCTTGTGCGGAAAACAAAATTCTCGTAAAGACAGAGTGCTCTAATCAGCTTGGTTCCCGGACTGGCATTCTGTCAAAAGGGTCTCGATTTTAACTTTGATATGTCTATACACGAGGTGCAGGTGTGCGTTAAAATAGGGTCGGGATTCTCTCGCCCATACAAAAGCACAGAACATGCCTGCATAATTTCAACTTTCCATTCTGTCTGATTCCGAAAGTGCTTTCCTGCCAAAAAAATTCCGTGGGTGACAAAAGCTATTACTCAGATCCTCTTGCCAGTACGTGTATTTGCACTTGCGTAAATGTGCAAAAAAAAAAAAAAAAAACTCGGGCTGGAACGCACCAGGCGAGCCGATGCGATCATACGTTTTTGCACCAAATCTGAAGCAGGTTAACTGCATGAATGATTGTTTCTTCGCACCTGCCTTGTGCGCTCAATACCGTAAATCATCGTAAATGCATAAACGAAAATAAACAAATTCCGTTTAGCGGTAGTTCTTATGCGTTTTTGCATATGTGCAAATTGCAACCGCGGCTGGAATGCACCGGGCGGGCCCGTACGATCATGCTTGCACCGGGCTTGAAGTACTCAGGTCATTAACTGAATGAACGATTGTTGCTTTACATCTACCAATGTAACCTAGTTGTTCAGTGAGAAATTTTTGCGCCAAAACTTTTAAGTGCCCGCACGTAAGAACCACGCATGCCTCAAAGCTGAATTTGAAATACTTAAGTTGAACTTGGACAGGGAACCTTCCCCTAGAATTTCAGTTTTCTAGCTTTTCTGATTCCCCGAATCAATAATTTCTCCGCAGAAACTTCCATACGCCCCGACGTGGGAGGCTGAGTTTGAAAATTTTGAGTTGCACCTGGACAGGGAACACGTCCCTCCCCACCCCCTCCCCCCGCCCCCACCAAGTTTCAGCCTTCCAGCTTTTCTGGTTGCCGAGTTAAAAATTCTTCCCCCAAATCTTTTGCGTGTTCGTACGTAAGGACCACGCATGGTATTTCAACTGGACAACTAAACAAGCTCCGGCGCCAAAAACTTGTCAATGGGTTCCCCCGCCAGATGCCTTCCCAGGGCCGCGGTACGGACCCTCACGCAAGTCCGGGACCCGCGTATGAGGGGGTGTAAGTTTTGGCGGGAAAATTGCTAACTCAGAAACGAGAAAAGCTACAAAGCTTAAATTTTGAGATTATGTTCCCCGTCTACATAGAACTAAAAGATTTCAAATTCAGCCCCCGAGATTGCGTGGTTCCCGCGTGTAACCCCGTGATAGTTCCCGGCGCGAAAATTGCTAACTCGGGAACCGGAAAAACTGGGAGGCTGAGACTTTCAGGGAATATCCCCAACCCATTTACAGCTTAAATTTTTCAAATCCAGGCCCAGGCATGCGCGGTTCTCACGTACGGCCTCGTGAAATTTTTTGGGGGTAAAACAGCTAACTCGGGAACCAGAAAAGCTGGAAGGCTGAAATTTTAAAGGGGTGTTCCCAGCCCACGTACAACTTAAAGATTCCAAATGTAGCCTGCAGGTATGCTCCCACGTCAAGTGCGGCTCTGTGGAGGTTTCGGCGGGAAAATTGCTAACTCTGAAACCAGAAAAGCTGGAAAACTGATATTTTAGGAGAATATTCTCCGTCCAAATACAACTTTAATGTTTCAAATTCACCCTTCAACTGGTAGTTATCGTGGACGGACACTTAAATTTTTGGCGGGAAAATTACTCATTGAACAGGTGAGTCATTTTCAAACCCAGGTTGGACCGCACCGGGCGAGCCCGTGCGGTCATGCGTTTTGCACCGGACTTGAAGTAATCAGATCATTAACTGCATGAATGGTTGTTGCTTTACACCTACCTTTTGCGGTCACTAACATAAACCACTACAAATTTTGTATGAGGTAAATGTACAATTTTCATTTAACGGTCGTTCTTTAGAAGTAACCTAGCTGTTCAGTGAGAAGTTTTTCCGTCAAAAATTTTAAGTGCCCGTACGTAAAAAAAAACCACGCATACTTCAAGGCTGAATTTGAAAGAATTTGTACTTGAACAGGGAACATCCCCCTAAAATTTCAGTTTTCTAGCTTTTCTAGTTCCCGAGTTAGTAATTTTCCCGCAGAAAATTACTAACTGGAAAAATTACCCTAGAAAAACTCTAGAAACCTAGAAAAAATGCTAGCCCAAAAAATTACATGAGTATTACCCATCATACGCCTTGGAGGCTGAATTTGAAATCTTTAGCTAAAACTTGCATAGGAAAATCCCTATAAAGTTTTCAGCCCCTTAACTTGTCTGATGCCGGAGATCGCTTTCCTGCTAAAAAATTTGCATATTTTTTAAAGCATCTGTATGCGGCACCCAAGCGTCCACGGAGGATGATATTAAAACGGGAGGGTCGTGCATGGTATGGGCAGAGCACGTAGTCCCAAAGTTTCAGCCTTCTAGCTTTTCGAGTTGAAAGTGGGTGACAAAAAGTGCGAACACACACACACACAACAGATACACACATCCTCTTCCCAATATGCGTTTTTTCAATTTGCATATAAGCAAAAACGCGTAAAAATGGAAAATTTTGGCAAATTTTAAATTTTATGCCTTTGCATTTATTTTTCGAATTTTTCCACTGAGTTTTGCTGTAGGGATTCACATTTCGTCCCACATGGATGATTTTGGTACGCTGCACAGAAAAGACGGTGGCAACCTTTTCCCACGCTAGCCACACTACTGATTTGGGGTAACATAGAGTCTCGTTTAAATCAGCGTAGTGGGTTCGCCTATGAGTCTTATGCGGATTAGCTACAGTCACTGATTCATCAGCCGGGGCTCCTTTCAACGATCTTTGTGTGATTATTCAAGAAAAATTTCGATGATGCAGATGGGCCTGGAGTGATGAGTTCGGATATTCAGACCGTTATCAAAGCGTGTAGTTTCGCGGCTGAACGACATCGCAAGCAGAGGCGAAAGGACGCTGAGCAGACACCATACATCAACCATCCGATTGGTAACTTTCTTTCTTCTCAGGTGTCCTACGGACATCCTCAGTGTGTGGAGGGAGAGATGCGTCACTGATTATGCACTGAGTGATGCTAATAATAGTGGTTGAGAAATCAAATGTTCTGAGGTTGTGTCAGTCGACTGAAATAATCTCAGTTAGAAAGCTAACAACGCCTGATTAGTGGAAGCAAGCAGCTCAGCATGTCACTGACATCATTAACAGGGGATACCCGCACTGACAGCCCGAGTGTTCTTGATAAGAAATCGATTTAAGAAACTGCATGTTAGAAACACATAACTGCTGATTCTGCGCAGCCTTGGTGAAGTCGATAAAGTATGGTGAGTTGAGGTGTCGCGAATATCCTGATCAGCGAAGCGGGTGTGACGGACAGCGCAGTGATTGCAGCTGCTTTGTTACACGATACGCTCGAAGATACAGCTACCACGTTGCAAGAACTGAAGAATCTGTTTGGTGATGAGGTAATCTGGCTTTGCGTTTGTACAGGTGCACGTTACATGTGTATTTGATTTCGCTTACTTTTTTGCAGATCAGTGGCATTGTACAAGAATGTACCGATGACAAGAAACTACCAAGGGATGTGCGGAAAAAATTGCAAGTCGAAAATGCCTCGAAACACTCCAATAAAGTATTTGATTCTTGAAAACCTATGGAAAATCGAAGAAGAGAGTGCTTTTCTTCTGAG